ACCTGGACGGCAGCGACACGAGCTAGCCGCCGATCAGAACAGCGGCGATAGACGCTACTAATTTGTATTTGGTCTACCGTGCCATCGCTTCGCTTTCGGCAGATGTTTCTGCGTTCACCTTTAGAGCGAATCGATAGACAACGATAGAGGAGCGTATCCTTGTTTCGATATAAAGAAACATTTTATTTCGGCGAATTGTTTCAGGGTCTAAAAATAAAATATTTAGAAAATAAGTGCCAATCAAAAAAGATACTGGCCAAACTCACTGAAACGGGATGTGTGAAGCGTATCACCATATCTGCGCCGTGTTTTGCTCACCTTCGGACAGTGCGTCGTTTTAGCTACTGCCGTAGGGGTATAACGGTAGCAGAGTAGGCACATTCTCTCCCTGAGCTTAAATGAACGGTAGAGGAGACTCACATAAACACCGAGTCGATAAGACGGTTTCGTCAGTTAGTCAAGTATTGCATCCTTAGACCGTAACAAGTTGTATCTGGACACTTTCTGTTTCATGTCTCTGGTTTACTTTTAGGCCGATATTCAATCCTGGGAAGTATTTGCGTATCAATTGGGAAGTATTTGCGTAAAGGTACTACAAGACACCTCGATACAAGCGATATAAGCATATAACGTAAGGTATTATATCACGCTTTTATCCTATTCCTCTCAGGACAGGGAATAGGCGGAATCACAGCGTAATCTGGGAAAAAGTTCTAGCCTCGCGTATGGCTATAGAAACCATGGACCTCAATAACGGTGGTTTGATTTTTAGCTGGAAGAGCTGCAATCACGGCAAATATATAATGGGCTCTTGATCGGGACAGACACACCTTGATGGAACGTAATTCAAGTTGTCTATTCATTGCAGTCGAAAAACAATAAGTGATAAATGCTAAAGGATAGGAAAGTTCTGACCCTGCTATTGGAAACTGACCCCAAAAATTCGCTAAATTTCTGATCAGCATTATTTTTATTCGCACAGTCTTTGAGACGTTCCTACGATCTGCGCTATTAACAACCTTGATGTTATAAATATATTCATAGAACAAAGGAAATGTATTCTGTCGCTTACCTTAATCAGATTAGCGGCTTCAAGAACACGGAGGAGGACCCACAATGCATTTCGACGTGAAAGCGGTATCGTCATGACCAGGGACTAAGTTGTTTCCTAAACGCGAGCCATAATGATGACACCCACCTGGCTGTATGATAATGACAGCCAAACCATCGGCTCAAAGTGGGTTTTCAAAAAAGTCAAGGCTTTTCCACTTTAGGGATGCTTAAATTGAGCCTGGTCATTTGGACTTAGTCACCAGTCACACCTGGCATGCTATTAAATGTCTATAGTGTATTTATAGTCTGCTAATATCATCTAAGAGCAAGATAGAAACCTACAATTTGGTAGACTATTAGCTATGAAGCAACCTCGGTCAGGTTTTTGGCTGACACATGTTTCACTAACAGATTCAAGAGAATTTTTAGTTAATCAAACGAAACGATATAGGAAGAAATAGGATGAATGTTGTCTCTAGTTATTTTAAAAGTTCTTTTAGCCCGTTTAGGTTTTACCTACTCAATAGCAGGTTAACGGTATTTGAAATATATGAGTTCTTATTACAACAATTGATTTAATAAGCCAGACTGCCAACTTTTGAATATATTGTGCATCACAGTCTCAAAGTCTGAAAAGCAATACAAGGTTTGAGAACTTACTTTTCTATGGCGGGTACAAATTTGAAGTAGAAGGCTATTATATCGGATATGGGCACTTAGTTTGGCAAAGCTATTCGATCACGCGTAGCTTAAATGTACCGTAATCTATCAGTACAAAGTGTACCTTGTCACAAGTGTCTACATTATGGTGTCTCAGCGTTGGCCGTACTTCGACATACATAAATGTACTAGGATACTGACTATTGCTAGGGTATTGATATAAACGCCAATTGATTCATTTTCAATTCAGACAAAACAGAAATATCCGGCCAATTTTTAGTCAGAGATTAATGTTAGATATTGCGTATTCTAGAGAGTCTAACTTATTTTCCTCGTTTAGTAACTCGGTAAAATAGCTTAATTAGCTTTTTTTTTTTTCTAATTATGCTGTTCGCTAAAGCCTTATTGGATCCGATGGACATGAGCTCTTTCCTTTGTAGCTCGTCGTGCATATTTACATGGTCCTGTTAATCGGTGTTTACCGGTCTACCGGTGGTTCCATTATAGTGGTGTGATTTAAATTCACTTCACACACAAATCTGTCACGCGTGATTGTTAGCGGTAGAGTATATCGTGGCTGGTAGAATCATCGCCTGCGGCATCTGAAAACACCCTACTGAAGCTGAACGGAAACAAGCTGTGAAGTCCGGACCCACAAGTAACAATGACACTGATGTTTTAATAGAATAAAAATGTGATCAAGTGTAGCTTGGCCAAGGTTGAAAACACGATTTGATCGAACTTCAATAGGTACGTACACTTGATGCGTATTGTTATTGAAACTGTATCATTTGTGCATGTATACTTGATAAATATAGGGTGCCATATAGCTCTTCGGAACATTGAATTTTCATTGTATCCTATAGGTGCCAATCGACGCTATACTGATTATTATTTTCATTCATCGTATTTGATCGGCTGACACGCTCATTCGACCCGTATTCGAATACCTCATGGAAGTGTATTATGTCAGCATCAAGTGATCTGACGCCAATCGCCTATTGATGACCTCCTTGAGTCTTTTCGCGCTGTTTTTAGAAATTTTTTTTCTAAAAAAAAAAAATTGCACTGGTCAAATGATGGCGTTTCGTCTATAGATTTTCAAGGTAACTGAAAAAAAAAAAAAAAAAAAAAAAAACACCTATATGCAGTCATGCATTTCCAATAAAGCAGTTTTATAATGTGATAAATCACACCGGTTTGGATACGATTTGTTTGAAGTATGTACTATTCGAAGACGAACGGCGATGCCTGCCATTATGTCTCGATATATGTCGTTTAGGTAAACGCCCTGGGGATTTTTTCGGGGAGACTCGAAACGGAACATAGCGTTCGGCATTACTAGTAAAACGTATTGCGAACTAAAATATGCCAAACTGTATTGCCCTCATTCTTCCCCTAATCCTAAAGGTTTCAGGCCTTCCCTTTAAACGAGCCTCACGCCGCGCGATATTAGATCGTAAAAGAACTCTCTCAAAAGTGTCGAACGTTTACCTATCTCGCAGTGTGTGAAATCGTTAAAGCTCAACTTCTCCAACCGTTCTGTCAAATGGCCTCTGATGCTACATGGCTGTAAAGCGGCTGTTTCAATATATAAGCTCGAAGTGAGAAAAATGTTCAATACGTATGACAAACTTGCTTTCGTGCAAGCTAATGATACGTACGTCCATAGTGTATGTTTGATTAATAGTATATTGAGAAACCTATTAGAATACTTCGAAAATTGCCAATCGAAAAAAAAAAAGCTATAGTAATGATGATTCGTTCTGAGCGGCACGGATACGGCCTCCATTGCCATCCGACTGCCCGCTCAGCCACTCTCGCTAGTGGTAATAACCAATCCGACAAACCCACACAGACGAAGACATTAAGTGGAGAGAAGAGCTCTTCGACGGATACACACAAATAGTGCAGTTCGAATGATAGTCAATAAAGAAGAAAAAAAGCGTCATGTTATTGTAAGCTGGCATATCTTCAGCCAAAAATGACTTCCTAGCCTATTCCATTGCATCAATCCTAGCGGGCGTCCGTCACCTGACACAACGACCCGACTACGTTGTAACGCCCGTTGGATGGCCACAACAAACCGGAGAAAATTCGCGATAGAGAAGTGACAGTATCACTGTAGGTAACAACAAGAATACGGTCTGTCAAAGTTACGATTGTTCGTGTACGTTTCGACACGTAGTTCAAGTTCAACTTAATCTGAGCACACTATATATATAAACATAAAATATCGATGGTATTGTATAGCAACAACAGTTCTATAAAGACCGTCGACGTCAAAAATTACAGTTTCGCTCTGAGATCACAAAATCGACCGTACATTAAGCATGTACGGTAATGCAGAAGCTGTACGTAAGTTTGAGAAAAAAAAATTAACGCTGTGGAATATACGTGTCAACGTAGCTATATGACTGAACTGCGCAGATATGGAATTTCCAGCGTAAAAAAACCCTATGTCTAAAGCAGTTGTTAACATTCTTAAATCGCCTACCGGTGGTTTGATGTGTGAGTCGTTAGGTCGACTTGTTGAGAATTGCTGAAACCATTCAAGATATACGAGCTTGCAGGTCCTCGCGAAGAAGCGGTTCATGTGTGGCAAGGTCCCAAAGTCTCGGCCTTGGCGTAGCTCTCAGGAGTCATTTCGACAGCATTTAAAGATCACGTTAAAATGTTGCCTATACGAAAGTATGCATGACGCTACCTAGGTAGAGATAATACCGGGACAATAAACCTTCAGCTGAGCAAGTTGGCGGTCGCTGGCTTAAACTCCACTAACGACATTTACTACAATCAAATAAAGACGTATCGAAAAATCAGAGCTTACCTACTGCAGAATATTATTTCAAGCAAAGGACTACAGCTAAGAATTTTTCAAAATCGTGGCTCCTGTGTGCACAAGATATAGGTTGCACATACGTCCTATCTCTCCTCTTTGGTGTAACGCGACACACATAAAGAGACGAAACGATCACCTGAGGTCAGGTCATTATTATAATTCGAGACAAAAAAAAAAAGCTCCATATAGATCGCCGGTCTTTGATGGAGTGGATACACCGTTTTCCATCAGTGAACTTGATCATTTTCAAAGCAGACCGGCTAAATAGACAGTGATCGGAGAAAATTCAGCGCCGCCTTTCGTAAACTGTAATTGTCTTGTGGGCTACATAATAGATTTTGATGGTGACAGACAGCTACTGCCGCCATTCCCAGGACAAAAAAGTTTATCTAATTAGAAGCTAATAGTAGCATGGTTGTCATACACGCACAGTAGATGTATGGCTCGTCTAAGGCCCCCTGTCTTTATTTTCTGCATTTCGGTCTTAGCGGTTTCGGTTTCTTCCCTCCGACTTCTACTCTTGTCAACTGACCATCGTTCGGGTCGCGTCGTCGTGTCAGTTAGCAACGGCCACAGCAGCACCTGTTGGCCTAGTCAGTCAGTCAGTCAGGCAGTCAGTCAGTCAGTGCGTGGTGTTGCGTGCTGACGCCCGGCGATCTGCGATAGTGGCGGCCTTCAGCGTCCGAACGACAAAATTGGAAGCGGTGAACGAAGCCCTGGCGCCGCTCGTTATTGCCGCTCCCTTCTAGAGTAAAATAGACCAATGAAGTAGCAGCTGCTGCAAATACGTCAAATCAAAGGAAGTGTATTTTCTCTTGACTCTGAGCGAAGTTGATTCGAGGCAAGGCGAGCGTGGTATGGCAGTGGAAGCAATAGGGATGCCGCTGCTGCTCGAGACAGAATTTAGCTATTGCCCCTGCCCCCCGTATTGCGCCGTTGCCGACAGCTCCGACCCTGGAGACGAAATCGCTATGTACAAATTCTCACTGTGACGGCTACACGTAACGAAGTGTGTGTTCGCGTTACATTGATAGCGTAATGGAGTAGCTTCATGTAAGCCTGCAGATACATTTATATATATTATTTCTAAAAGTGCATACGTCTATCAAATGAGAATATAATAGCCTGACAAAAATGAACAAGTAAATTTTTCAAATTTAGAACAAGTAAAAATCCTGTTAAGTCCTGTAGACGTGTGCAGGCCTATGAATATATACGTCTGTTCAATTGCTTGACGATTGTCAATCAAAGTATTTGGATCGATTCGTGGCCGACAGATAGTAATTCGTTGGTCTTTATGGCAGCCAGTTAACTTTTTCGTATATATATATATAACCTAACTATAAATGCTATTATCTGTTGATTACTTATCGATGTTAAGTTCAATTGAACGATTTGGCAGAGACGCCTCCAAATTCATTTATAAGTATCATTAGTTTTTCAAACAAGCGTTCGCCACTGAGCGTTTCATATGATTAGGTGATAAACACTATAATCTGAGTTGTTATTTACGTTAGGATAGGTAAGTAGACTTTTACTCGGGTGGTTCCTAGGAACAAATGTTAATATATTGGCGTGACGTAATCTACATGCGTCTACTCAGGAACAGTCTGGGAAATTGAATTTTTAGGTAGGCTCCTCGAAACGACAGGCTGATATAGGATAAACCTAGACGAGGGGTGACGATACTGAAATGTTCGCCCTGTTAACTATTGTAGATTTACATGGCTGAGCTTTGATCACAGAGCTGAATTCATTTGCTTCCATGATGTCCATCGATAGGCTCCGTATTGATGAGAAGCCGTGTTCGACACCCGGCTCAAACATGGCAAGAACAAAATTCGGTACGTATACATTATCTCGGTATAGATTATATATTCGATCCGGTGTAGTAATTCATATGCGTGGAATGGTCTGTTTCGAGCGTCGATAACTTTCGGTCATCTTAGATGGTCTGAACGTGGAAAGTCTATACAAATCTAAGTATGTACAGTGATCACAAGTTTGTTGTATTATACGTACACAGTTTCCAAACTTAACAACGGATCATATACTTCTATTTTATTATTGTGCAACGTGATATAGTTTCCCATCATCAAGGGGCGCATAACTTACGGTAGTTTCAAAGACTGTTTCGTTTCATTAGCAACAGGATGGGGTCGCACGAATCTAAGAAGGGGGGCGCTGCCACAAAAAAAGTAAAGCGGAACATTGATGGTCGAAAAGTATACGAATGAAACGTTGTAGTAGAGGCAAAAAGGTAAAATGCTGCCAGCGGCTAAATTCGACCCCTTGGGGGTTGTTCGGCTGCATTTATTCGAAAATCCGCTCGACCATGCTAAACTTCTTTGCTTCGTATTCGCGGACACGCGGCGTAATGACGAGGAAAAGTCAGAAGATACCAGTAATTGAAACTATGCTAAATCGTTGTGAACAAGCCGTTAACCCATTTCGTTGTTATCTGGACGGTAATTCATGATGTGCACTCCCATGGAGCTCCAAATAAATATACGTTGAGCAATTCAAGGAAGGCAAGCATAGGGAGATAACAGGTATCTCTTGAGAAAACAAAATGTTTATTCAGCCAGACGGCTTTTCCCATTGGCCAATCGTCGTGTGGCTTAGTCGGAAACTCTTCCAATGCAAAAAAAAAACTAATTAAACAGACAGAAAGCATCGTGAACATGGATTTACAACTAAAGCTTCAACAAATGGTCATTGAGGATAAACATGATTGGCCATGTTTCTGCGTCGTCCCCTTTATTTCTATCCTTTTATTAAAATGGTTGCTATAACTATTGCGCATACCCGACCGTTTTTTTTTTTTTTTTTTTTTTCAAAATAATCTAATTCATAGTTGGAATAATAAATAAAGTAAAACGATCAAATGTAATACATACATATAGAACACATGGGTGTACACACTGATTGCAAAGTCAATGTACATTTTAAGTAGAACGAATTTGTTTTGTTTCCGCACGTACGTGCGCGAGAAACTTAGAAGAGAGGAACGGCTTGCCATAACTGCACCTTAAAGATTTGCAAATGGTGCGACTCCAGCAATAGTAACGAGTTTGGCTGAGGGCAAACACCGATTGACTTGTTGTATAGTGATAACCGTATCGTTGTACGGTGTCGCTATTACTACTATTAAGTCTAGCCCCGTTGGAAAGGGAGCGGCTATTACATAATGTTTCTCTGCGATACAACTGCGCACAATACGTACGCCGCATAGGTGACGTCTTCTTATCTCTTGAATCTTCTACTGTTTCGTAATGGCTACAACGATAAGTACGAGCGACCAACTCAACTGATCTAGTTTACGTCTCGAATCGTTTGCCGCGTTACGTTGTCGATCTGCGCAAATCTCTGCTGGAAAACTTCAAGTGCCCACAACAGCTAGTAATATCTCCCATATAATCTTCGTTTCGATTTAGATCATTTTGGATCGCGCCATTCGAGTCAGCTTATCCTTATTTCACTTGTGTATGAACAACCCGATCTATTTTTAGATACATCTACTTATTTCGACCGTTCTGTTATTTGTGGCATTAAATTAAAAATGAAGATAAAACTATGTGATAATTTTTTAATAGGAAAACTAATTTATGCAAACTATTGAATTCCTAGAATTTAATCGTAGATGCTAGCAGCAGACTGAACGCTATGTGGCAAAATTGTTGCCCAGCATAGGAGAAAGCTGGGAAAACTTTCTTTACTTCTAAATGCGAGTTTCCTATCATACTAGCTATTTTATTTAGACTAAAACTTAGAACAAAGGAAAATGTTCCGGAAATAGAGGAAAAATTCACAGGATTGACCTGTCAAAAGTTAGCAGTTTTCACGACCGCTTTTAGCAAATGTTCGCTGAACAACGTGGTAAACTCTACTTAAAATTCAGAGGATATTAGTTGATCTTGCTAGCTTCGACAGTCACACAACTATCTCTGTTGTGTGACTATCGAACTCGAAATACAATCTCGGCCTCCTCGGATACGCTATTTATCGTCAGCATGTGTTTGACTTAAATAAGTTAAATACGTATTACGACGCATCTAGCGAACAAATAATAAAAGTAAAATATCCGAAAATACATTTTACACTTAGTCAATCCCCTAGATTTGTTTGTTGTTAGAAATGCACAATTATATACATAGCCCTAAAAGGCATCTATTCCAAGTAGGATACGTTGGTTTTAAAAGCTGTCATCGTACGAGTTAGATGTAGAAGCATGCATGTGTAATAAACGCCTTACTAAACCCGGAAGTTTTTCTTCACTAATGTTGAATCAACTGTCCCTTGACCAGTGCTTCAGATGAATTACTGAATTGAGGCTTCAGTGGCGCCATTAAGCAATCAGAGATTAGCTCGTTTTCAGGAATGAAAAATCCGAAGTATTTACCATCAAAAGTAGTTTCACCTTTTACATTCGTCTTCCTTCGGACCATTCAGGAAACACTTTAAAGAGATCCTCAATTACAAGAAATATGTTTCTTACCTATTATAAATGGCTTTCAATTCACTTGTATTTTATTATATAAGCTCTCTTCCTCAACGTGTCATTTGCCGACGGTCGAAGGCTATATAGCATTCTGTTCTCTACAAATATGCGGCTATTGTTATGAAGACAAAATACTTAAATTCAGGATTCAACAATAGGCGTCCTAGATCGCGATGGCAGTACACATAGCACGCCTGAAAGTCTTCATGCTTTGTAATTAATTAACAGAGAATATTTCAAGGTAAAAGGCCGAACGGATACATCATCGAAAATAAGCTCTGGCTAATAAGGCAGCCATATACGGCCGATAATATAAGTTAAAGATTAAAAAATAAATAAACAAGGCAAGGGGAAAAAGCTGCTGTCCAATGTCGAGACCTTATTTTTAAATCTAATAGTAATGATTTTATGGTGTTTATGCTATTGTTCCATGCTTTTTTTGCGATAGGCCACTATGCAACGATCGATATCGTCTCTCAGTCGTTACGAATCAATGCATGCGTTTCGTGACTTCTGCCGGGCACAGAATTATACACTAGACATTATAGAAATACTTATAGTTATGAGGCCAATTGACTGCAAGTATCTGACAAAGTTCCACAGATAAATCCGATGTTTTTGCTGAAACGTCTCCATTCTACCTTAATTTTTCGGGTTTTGTGTCCGGCAATCAGGTCGTTAGCTCCCAACACGATGTATAATATCTTAGGCTCGAACCCGAACCTATGCCACCACTTTGTTTGCCACCAATTTTAGCAGATAAATACGGTACCCACTGCCCTATTGCGGATATGTTTCTGTTCTCCTTAGGAGGCTGGAGCCAGTCGGTCCTGAGAGCGATATGTAACAAGATTCTAAATAAATAGCTTGCTAAGACTTCAGAAATATCAATACATCTGCAGAATCAAAGACGTACGATTTTCGTATGGTATTGTCTGCACAGACCATATAAGAAGTTAAGACGAGTTTACATTTTTCTCGATACATAGATGAAGTAAACTCGAAAAGGTGGTTTCCGATCGACACATTTAATTTCGAAACGTTACGTAATTGACTAAACCGAATTCAGTCAGATTTATCTGTCATTGACTTTCTACTCTGTTCGTTACAAGAAATGCCAACGAGTACTATAGTAGATGACACACGCGATCAGTTAGCTGACATCTAAGATAGTCATAGATGAATTTGCTCAACGAAATACACGCAGTAGCAATTTTTCAAAAGGCCAACCGCGTAGACATTAATCTTTATGAGTCCTTACATATGAACAATAATGTATGTATTACGACTGTGGTCTATTTTCCGGCAATAGGATTGCCATTTGGGACTGAAAGAACTGGCCATCTGTTTTGTCAACAATCAAATACGTTCATAAAGCTTGATGCGATCACTTCTCCCGTAGCTAGATCATCTACATCTCTATTGTGAGCCATTCCCTACATAAAGGCATTACAGAGACATGATTCCGTGCAACGACGTGCCTCTGATCAGCTGGTAACTGTCGCGGTGACTCTAGCAGCTATGCGCCATCGTTGACAACATTGGTAATAGATAGAAACGTGGTACCCAATGATAGTGGTAATCCGTTACTAGCCGCTAGCAAAACAGCAATAGGGATCTTCCGGCAGAACTCGGCGTTATCAGACACGCGTATCCGGGACGCTCGTTTTAGACGAGAATGGTAATAGTAATAATAATTTAAGCATACCATTGTTATAATCACGATATACACGTTTGGCTCGGCGCATGCGCGTCGTTCAATATATATTTAATATCCAATTGATGGATCTAGATGTGCATTGTGTGGTAATAGTGAATGATTCGATACTTGTTAGGATTATCTCTATTGTATTGTGAATTGCGATCTTCAATGCGGCCGTAGTCCATATCCAGTGATCTTTATATGCGTATTACTACATATGCCACTGGACAACAGAATATCCTTATAGCGGCCTAAAAAATTCGACTCAAGCTAATTAGATCAACTCTAAATAGATGATTTCTCAGAGCGTGTTTTGTGATCCGACTGTTGGCTGCTACATCCAAGAACATCTTAATGGACGCTGTTGAAATGAATGTTGTCAGGAAGTTGATAATGCAACGAGACTGTAAGACGGATCTTCAACCCCCCCCCCCCCCCCGCCGCATGTCTAGATGACACTTTTAAAGATATCGTTGGGCTTACGTACGTCAAAAATATCTGGAGGAAAGATCGTATAAAAAAGCGAAAATAGGAGGCAATCGTAGACCTGTCGTACATGTTAGTGGTGTTAGCGAGAGGGTTTAGATGACTTTTTCAGAGTTTTTTAGGTTCTCTTCGACAAAAAGGTTAATCAGATAAACTTTTAGCAGCACAACTGCATAATATCATAATTCCTATCAAGCAAACGTTAAGTTCAATCCAAGCATCAATTCTAAGTGGTTATTTCTTATAGCGACCAAAAGTTTTGATCTACCAAATAGATTGATTCATAAGATAAGTACCCGTATAGGTCACGTGTCCCGTAAATCAGTACGACGTTTTCTTGGCCGATTTTCCTACATATTTGGCCGAGTTATAGGGGTCGATTAACAAGGCAAAAGCATTCGTGGTCAGCCTCTGGCTGAAACAGGCTAAAAAATGGCCCAAATCGTCCCGTAGCCCGAAAAGCACGTTGTACGCTGTTCTCTATTCGGCCGTGCAAATCTTACGATAATTGAATACGAGAAACACATGCTGCCGCTACGTCAACTTTCTAAGGAACTGCACTAAATGAAGCGGCGAAGAAGTAGTACGAGTGCAGCACGATTTGGCTTTTCGACTTTTTTTCGGAACTTCGATGGCTTTTCTCTGTGACCCTCATTTTCGCTGTGATTTACTGAACCCTCTGTACTCAACAAACGCAGCATTGAGCATTGTAGGGCAACATTATCGCGATCAAACGTAAGTAAGAGCTGCTTATCGCTATTGGAAGCAGACGCCACACATGTACGTTATCCAGCACAACAAAGGTTATTCTACTTAATGAGAAAACAGTGAGATCGGTAAGGTTTCAAAACTATGGGGCATCTGATAGTACCATATAAATTTAAAAATAAATGCAACTTAAAATAATGATAGACGACAAAGATTATGTAGTTCTATGAGATATTTCACTGGACAGTGTTTTTGAAATTCGTATTACATAGCATTTCATTTTTAGTCCCAAAGCATCTGCTGATATAATCTTTGAGGACGCTGAATGTCTCCCGAGATTCTCTGA